TTCTTCAAGCTCTCACCTTGTTTTACTTTTAACTTAGCACTTATTACTGAATATTTTCTTTCACATATTTCTGTTATTAATGGACTCCATACCAAAACTACCCTTCTAGAACATAAGGTCTATGAAAACAAGGATCTCATCTATATTATTTACGTGTGTGTGTGTGTGTGTGTGTGTGTGTGTGTATGAGTTATAAATAAACTACACTTATATGAGTTATAAGTGAACACAACAGGTACTCAATAAAGATTTAGCAAATAAATACGTGCATGAAAGTGTGTCTTAGTAGGCCAAGAAAGGTGGTGGAAAAGAGATGCTTCTCGGGAACTTATTTTAATATTGACAATAGCTGACATTTATCAAGAGGGTTAATCTTCAGAACAGCACCCTAAAATAAACACTGGAGAGAAAAATGCAGCAGCAACCTGACCCAATCTACTCTAGATCTAAATAAAAGATATGGGACCCAAACCTAGACCACACACTCAGAGCAGCTATGCTTCACTACCATGTATCCAATTAGATTCTGTTTACATGCCAAATATGTGCAACAGATTTAGTTCTGAAATTCCTAGTATTCTACACACACATGCAAATAAATCTATTACATGATCCACTAGAATCATAAGTTAAAAATAAATAAGTTGCCATAAGAAACTTTGCTGTTTGGAGTGGTGACACCGAAGGAACATATGTGCCATGGTCTTCTTAATGGAGAAAGTTTATAAAGGATGAAGAAAAACAGCATGAATTATACCACGAATAATATTACTAAACGCAAGCATGAGCTTCTAGCATCTGTAATACAAATCAGTGTAAGTTGATGGCATTGATTCAAGTTTTGGTTTAGTGAAAGCATGTCTATGGAGAAAATATAAAGATTTTAATAGCCTTGTTTAATCCACTGGTAAAATTTCAGCTATGTAGATGAATAAAAAGAATTCATGTCATTCAGGCAAACGCTCCTCAATATTATTTCTGTATTTCTGACACCTACATTTCTGATCAATATTGGCTTGTAGAAGTTATGATGTATACATTTTATGATGAGTACCAGACTATATATATTTGGTGTTATTTTTAAAGAATGTATTCATGAGTTTGAAAACATGCATAATTTTGGTAACTTCTTAGAAGCTGATATGCCTAACCAGAATATATGCCTCAACACACTACTACTATACTTCTGTGGAGACATACAAATGGAAATATATACAACCAATGTCAAGACTTTCCTTTGAAAATAACTCTGGTTTTATCCCATACATGAAAAGAAGTCTGATTAATGGCCAACACCTTATCCAATCTAGAACCCTAAGTCATTAGAAAATAATAAGTGAAATACCCATAAAATATTTGACATTAACCTATGCTTTAAAATGGCTCTAAAATGTACTCCTAGTTGACTCTTAGGCTCTAATGCAAGGTCAGTTAAATGGCAAAGCATGTATTATGTAATAGTTAATTTTAAATCACTCTTTCCTACCATTCTTGGTTATTCTATTAGCCTCAATGACATCATATGGTGAGCAATGCTTTTATTTTGCTTTTCTCAACAGACTAGTAAGCTAAGCCTCAGAGACCTCATATAAATTGCAAAAGTGACATATCCAGAAAGCAGAGACCCAAGAATACTGAATCTGGACATGGGATTGTAACCACTGAAATATTTTGCCTACTTTTGTCAGTTTTTCTCAGCTAGATAAAACTAATATATTTTGAAGCAGAGTCAATAGTTGACTTCAGGCTCATATCCTAGTGACAGAACTAAAATACAACAATTCTAGCATTTTTTTCCTAAATGAATATTTTTTATATAAATATCACTTTAAATTAAGAAAACATACAGCTAAAAACTATCATTTAGCATTAAATAAACTGTACATAAAGGCTATTTCTTCACATAAAAGATCACCGAGTGCCTACAGAACAATAAAAGAGATGTGAAGTGTTATTTCTTCAAACACTGGTTGACAAATGAATGCCCTGTGAGAAGTACTTGGCTGGCCAAACACACCAACTATTAGCTCTAGAGTCAGTTCTCAATTCTTTATGCAACAGCCCATTCTATGTACACAGAAATTGCAATTTTCACAGTTATTTCTCACTTTAACTAAATGCATATTATACTATTTTTAAAAACCTTTCTCATATTGGGTCACATTTCATCTGAATGTCTCATGGCCTCCCTTAGAAATACAGCGATAAAATCTAATCTCCCTTTCACCTGACATCATTTAAAACATTTGCAGAGTTATCATCATCTCCTACACTTTCAAGTCTTACTTTCTCCAAACAAGTCATTCCTCATCCTCTCAAAACTTCAAATTCCTGCTGGGCACAGTGGCTCACATCTGTAATCCCAGAACTTTGGGAGGCTGAGGCAAGTGGATCATTTGAGGTCAGGAGTTCGAGACCAGTCTGGTCAACATGGTGAAACCCCATCTCCACTAAAAATTTAAAAATTTGATGGGTGTGGTAGTGCATGCCTGTAGTCCCAGCTACTTAGGGGCTGAGGCATGAAAATTGCTTGAACCCAGGAGGCAGAGGTTGCAGTTAACCGAGATTGTGCCACTGCACTCCAACCTGGGCGATAACTGGGCAGTTATCCTTGGGTTTATCAATGTTCTTCAACTGGGAACTGAGCTAAAGATTTTGGGCATGTTCTTCTATACAAACTGCTGTCGTATTTTACAACTTGTTCAATATGCCTACATGGTCCTCTACATTCTAGTTGCATGTTGGTCATCACGCATGCAATTGGAATGTAGAGGACCACGTAGGCATATTGAACAAGTTGTAAATGTGAACCTATAACTCTTTGCACAACATAAAATGTCTCTGCTGTATTCATAATTTTTCTATCTCTTAACTAATATCATGGATTTTTTTTCTAATATTCTGAATGCCTTTAGAATTGAGAACATCTTTAAAAATTCACCAAATATTTTGAGGAAATGAAGACCTTTATTTTTCTTGGAGATTAGCAATAAAATAATAGGTAAATAATTCAGTATCCATGGTGGAGTGCTCGTAGAGGGAAGGTAAAACCTCCTTTTCTTATTTTAAATTAAATCTTGTCTATAGGCAAAAGAAAAGGAGCCAGTGCCGTGAGGTGAAGAAGTTGAAAATGGAAGTGAACATGAGCTTAGTGATTACAAGAACCTAGAGGTTGCTGACCTATCCTTCCACTGCTCCCATGTTGCATCCCTTAATCTCTGGTTAAAATAAAGTTCTCAGTAGAGAAAAATTTGCATATTGATTTTACTTTTTAAAAATCCCATTAAAATGAAATGAAATATTAATTTTTATAGTAACTTCTAATAATTTCAAGGATTAATAATCTGTGTTTCACTTTTAGCTGATAAAAAGACCTCCTAACTATATGCTATGAAAGTACATCCGAAAACAGCTAGTGTCCACTGGATTCACAATCAGAGATATATTGTAGATTACCACATAAATTCAAGCAGGAAAAAAAGGTTTAAACTTACCGTGACTACTTAAGCTGACTAAAGGAACTATGAAAGAGTATTCTCAGATATATTAAAAAAGGCAATTACATTTCACTGTCTCCAAATTATTTCAAATTTATCATATTTTAAGTGCCATTCAATGTTCTTTTTGATTGGAAGAGCCCTATAAATGACAGGCAGTTTCGTGCTGTGCAAATTAGCAGTTTCCCCTATTTCTCTTCACAAGACTGTCAATTTTTTCCTTATTATGTCATCCAAGTTAACAAAATGGAGACTCTTGTAAATTATTAGCCATATGCCTCACTGTGCAGTTCATAATTTAAATTTTATCAATGATGCATTTAATTTTTTTAAAAATGATCAATATTGTATATTTTGTACCTGTTTAATTTCCCCTAATTATCCCTGAAATAGCTTTACTTTTTACATTTCAATCTATATTTCTGCATATGAAGGATGCCAGGTTTCTTTGAATCCCAAGCTTCCATTCTAGACTGATGTGTACATGTATTTGTGCATCTGTGTGTATATACACCATTTCTACCTGGGTAAATCACTTGTGTACAACTCCCTGCTTCCTGGCTATTATTGTTTGAGACAAGTGAACTTGTCTGGAAGCAAGTATATTCCCTTTTTAGAAAACTTATTTTTTTTTCCAGAAGAAAATTTCATATTACTGCTCATGTCTCAGTCTTCTTGAGGGTACAAGAGATGCAGTTCCATACACCTCCTCTAGTTGAACTAAATAAGACATTTTTAAACAAGTATTAGCTAAGCTTAATCTTCCTGGGTACCCCTGGATTTCTTTTTTCTTTCTTTCTCTCTCTTTTTTTTTTTGTCTTTATAATTTTAGGTGGTGAAAGATAACATGAGTTGTAAATGTCACAATCTGCTCCGCAACAACCAGAAGAAATATGAAAACACAAAACCCAAAATACCTATTGTGGTGCTTGGTGAGTGGTCACTAGGAGAGAAAGCAAAGATAAAGAAACTAACAAAACATTCCAAGCAAAGAAAGTCACCCCCAGCACATACACAAGCCACCATAAGGCCATTAGAACTAGTGGGGGGAAATAAAAAGAAAAGGAACTCAGCTTCCATTTACAATGTATGGTACCTCCTATATAAATTTAAACTTGTATACCTCTTATGTCACTACTTTTGTTGTATTTATAAAGAAATATCTTCAGTCACTGCACTTTCAAATGTATATTAGCACATGCTAAAATTATGCTTTAATGAATAAAAATGACATTAAGCAAATACAAACAGCATACAGACTGTCAGAAACATATCATCACGTATATAATAGCTTTGCAGGGAAAATTTATAAGGTTAGTAGTGGATTGTCAACATGCCAATAACTTCCCCCAGTCACTTTGGGGCACACAAATTAGAGGAACTAATTAAATATATGATGAAATAAAATTATCTACTTCCTTGGTATAATAAAAATAAGTTTTTAAATAAAAAATCCTATTTAATTTCATCCTAAAATACAATTAAAATGAATTTGGCATTTACCTCGTGTGATTAAAAATCCACTGGACACTTTAGAAGCACAGGCAGCTCATGATACAGCTTTCTGGTAGCACTCATCAATTCCTACAAATAACAAGAGGGCGAAAGAGAATATTCAGAGCAATACATGTCATTGTAAAATGATGGTGATTAGCTATGAAATTTTTATTATTACTCTACGCTGCCTTTTAAAAACTACCTGACTATACATTGCTGTTATAATAGCTTTTGTTAAATGCACAATATAGCAATGAAAATTATGTCTGCCTGGGACTTCCAAGGCAATAAAATAGACTCCAGATTATGACGTACTACAAAACATCAAACCCCACAAAATAACATGTTATTTTACTGAGAAAGGCTGTTGGATTATAAAAATAAAATAATTTGAAATTGAAATGTTTTCTTATGTGCATTACCACATCAAATAATTTTTCTAGTCATGATGCTAAGTTATAAGAGTAGAGGGTTTAGTTTTTACCATTGGCTACTTTAGGTATATTTTAGCAAATATCTTTACTTTATATCTCATAGATTTCCCAGGAAAGAGCCATAAAATGTGGGAAATGATGGTTATCCATCTGATAAGTTAATATGCAGTATTGTAGGTTTTACTTTATCAAATGAATGGCTATCATTTCCTACATTTTATGAGACTTCTTCAGGGAGACATAGAAAATAAAACAGATATGCTTACTAAAATAACAAGATACTATACAGTATATACAGTAGAAAATTACATAGTAACTCAAGTTCTACAATTTTAATTATCTGGGGAAGAAATTTTTTTTAAAAAAGCATTATTTTCTCCCATCTACTTGATAAAAGAGAAATAAAATGATAAGCAAGATAGATGAGTCATTCACTGCTCCATATCGTCACTTTCCCATGTTTCCCATACCCAAATATGTAGAGTGGTAACTGTTAGCATCCCTTTTCTACCTGCCCACTACTCCAGGTCTCACACATGTTAAATTCAGGCACAAATACCAGCGAATCAGCACAATGAACACCTGCTCATCTTTTTCCCTCTGCACATTCCCAACCCTTCCTGTAAATCTCTAACTCTTTAGGTGAAAAAGGTCAGGATAGGATAAAAAGAGATGGTAGAAAGATGTTGCTCCTCCATTCATAACAGTACAAATATATAATAAACCTAAACACTCATCAATGGCAATATGTGGTATATATAAACAGCACAAATTACTATGAAGCCATGAAAGGAAAGAGATCATGTCCTTTGCAGCAACATGGACAAAGCTGGAGGCGATTATCTTAAGCAAAATAATACAGGAAGAGAAAAGCAAATACCACATATTCTCACTTATAAGGAGAAGCTAAACAACAAGAATATATGGACACAAAGAAGGAAACAATAGACACTGGGGTCTATTTGAGAGTGGAGGATGGGAGGAGGGAGAGAATAAAAAAAATTGCCTATCACGTACTATGCCTGTTCACTGGGTGATGAAATAAGCTGTACAACAAGCCCATGTGACACACAACATACCTAGACAACAAACCTGAACATGTACCCTAAACCTAAAATAAAAGTTAAAACCATTGTGGAAGACAGTGTGGCGATTCCTCAAGGCCTTAGAAATAGAAATTCCATTTGACCCAGCAATCCCATTACTGGGTATATATCCAAAAGACTATAAATCGTTCTACTATAAGGACACATGTACACGAATGTTCATTGCAGCACTGTTTACAATAGCAAAGACCTGGAATCAACCCAAATGCCCATTGATAATAGACTGGATTGGAAAAATGTGGCACATATACACCATGGAATATTATGCAGCAATCAGAAATGATGAGTTCGTGTCGTTTGTAGGGACATGAATGAATCTGGAGAACATCATCCTCAGCAAACTGACACAAGAACAGAAAATGAAACACCGCATATTCTCACTCATAGGTGGGTGATGAAAAATGAGAACACATGGACACAGAAAGGGGAGTACTAAACACTGGGGTCTATTGGGGGGAAAAGGGGAGGGCCAGTGGGAGGGGGAGGTGGGGAGGGATAGCCTGGGGAGAAATGCCAAATGTGGGTGAAGGGGAGAAGAAAAGCAAAGCACACTGCCATGTGTGTACCTACGCAACTGTCTTGCATGCTCTGCTCATGTACCCCAAAACCTATAATCAAATAAAAAATTAAAAAAAAAAAAAGTTAAAAAAGAGAAAAAAAGAAAAATGGCGCTCTTAACTAAGAAGTATAACTGTGTCAAGGCACATATAGAAGATTGGTACAGAAATATATGAGCATTTTCTTATCACAGGAGAAGTCATATGAGGTCATGCTTTAAGTGCTAGATTCATAAAAATTAAATTATCATTTCAATTTTCTAAAAGCTACTGTCAGGAACTAAATACAAATTTCTTATTATGTGCTTTGTGTCTTTTGTGTTTGGTTTGAAGGTTTATAACTCACTTTGAGGAAAAGATACTTTCTAGCCAAATAAATTCTATATAGTGAATAAAATGTCCTGTTAGATTCTAGAAAGAAATCAGAAGCTACACTTCCATTAGGGAGAAACAGACTAAGAGAGGAAGTGGGAACTACTTTTAGCAAGAAAGGGAGCATTCATATATTCAGAATAGTATGACACTAAGCAGAAAAACCCCAAAACACCAGGAATGGTTACATTGCATTTTATGAATTTCTGCATATGTTGCAGAAACATCCTGGTTTCCTGAGAATGCTTCAACTTCTCCAGTGCCTGGTTGTCTTCTGACTCTGCATAGTATCACATTTTTGTCCCATGTTTTATTTTATGGTTTATAAATCTACAGCAAACAACTTTAAATCTTTATTGGAAATTCACTGTGACAAGTGCTGTGATGGGCACTTTCATGCACATATCTCATTTAATCGACAAGATATGTACCCTGTCACACTTTGCAGCCATTGGCTTATATAGTATATATGTCAGCATAAAAATCTTAAATTGGGAGTTGTATGTTCCATGAAATAAATTGCTGTTTCCTACCCATTATAAGTTTTAAGTTCCATACATTTCATTTGCTTAAAGCATTTTCTGAATGTCTTGAGTGTTTATTGTTTTAAAATATATATGGAATGTGAAAATTATTCAACTAAATCCATTATCTATTTGCTTGAAATTTGAGTTTTAGCATTACAATAGAGAGAAGAATCCTGAAACCTCATAAGATCTTTCATTTATGATCATATTTAAAGATTAGACATATGATATCTTTGAGGAAGAAGAAATTGTGTTATATTTACAACACACAAACTAGAAATTCCCAATTTCTTGGAAGAAAATAATTTTAACTAAGACCCAATGTTATTTGATGGATGTGAAAAATAAGTTATGTTGTTGAAGTGATAGCATGAATACAAAAGAAGCAACAAGATAAGCAGGATTAAAAGGAGGCTATTTTTCTAAATAGAAAATTAAATGGTCAAGTTAGTGGAGAAAGAAGTTGGGTGAAATGTGTTGATAAAACTTAAAATAGCATTGTGTTTGTTGGGTATTTTTTGAAGGGGAATTTAAGTGGTAATATTTTCTAAATTTTCTAAGTAAAAATTTCTTTAGAGGTTTTGGGTTAGTAACAAAATAATAGAGAAAAAATATCAAAGCTGTAATTCTTAAAAAGTAAATCGAAGTTTATAGTGATGGGACATCACTTTTTGTATTAAACGATAACACCAAATGAGAAGCTAGGCCTAGATACAATCCTAGATCATCTGATTTATTAGATCCTTCTCACCAAAATGAGCTAGAGAAATAGCAGAAAGATATTAGTGACAGAATAAATATTGTTCAGGCTGAGCATGGTGGCTCACACCTGTAATCCCAGCACTTTGGGAGGCCAAAGCATGCAAATCACCTGAGGTCAGGAGTTCAAGACCAGACTGGCCAACATGGTGAAATCCCGTCTCTATTAAAAATTAAAAAATTAGCTGGGTGTGGTGATGAGTGCCCGTAATCCCAGCTACTTGGGAGGCCAAGGCAGAAGAATCGCTTGAACCCAGGAGGCAGAGGTTTCAGTTAGCAGAGATTGTGCCACTGCACTCCAACCTGGGCAACAGAGTGAGACTCTGTTTCAAATAATAATAATAATAAATATTGTTCAGAGGATAAAAGAGGAAAATATGAAAAAATCAGTTTCCTAAGCATTGGTAGATGTAGCTCAATTGAGCTGAGACAAGACTGAGAACAAAAACGTAAGAAAGTATACCCTCAACAGTTTAATTAACATAATTTAAGGTAAGTGATAATGTTTATAAACAAAAGTAGGGATTTGATGAATGTATATTTCCAAGCAGTTAGTGGACAAAAGATACCCCTAAACCATGTGTTAAAAAAAAAAAAATCCGTCTGTATGCTTAGGATGGTCAATAAAATCTAAAGTAGTCAATGTATCTAATAAAAAAAAACAGATTCAGTCTCATAGTCACGACCATGATATAATGGTGAAGAGAGAAAATAATGTTAAAGGGAGGTGATAAACACTGTGTAACAGAAACTGCAGAGGTTTAATATTTTAAAACTACACCTAGGCATGAATTACTCCCCTTTCAAACAAACTGACACTAACTTCAAGACTACCAATATGTAAACACAATTTACAAGATAATAACAGTGGCTCTGCTCTTATACAATAAGTATAATAATCTTTAAGGATAAACAACATACTTTAAATTGATTCAAATTGGGGTATCATTTAGGTTTATAGTGGTATGTTAGGAATAACTGGGAAAAGAAGAAGACAATATCCCTAGAACTTCAGTGCTGCTTGAAGTTTTAGAAGGAAAAATATCTACCTACACTTGAATGTTTCTAGGTAGAAACTGTGTGTAGTTATTTACTATGTCTCTACAAATGTTTCAGAAAAAAGGTTTGAAAACCCCAGCTTTAAATGAAAAGGTACACATTTCTACCATTTTCTCTGTCTTTTTCCACAACATTTTCTAATAATTCTCATACTTTATTTCAAGGTGAGGGAAAAGGGAGAATACTTTTCCAGAGAAAATATATACTACATGACATCTTCTCTCAAAAAGAAATGAATCATCTAATTTATTTAAATGTTTATTTATTATGATT